AATTGAAATATGAACAAGACGGTAAATGTTGCGTTGTGTCACAATGGATATGACGTTGGAGTCTTTGGTTTATGTAAAAATCAACCAAGATGGTTCTGCGAATATATAATTCAAGAAGTCGAAGAAGATGATGTTGATGATAAAGGCATGGAAATTAAACTTGAAAAACAATTTATTATGAAAAAGTGGTTGAGGAGAAGAAGGAGAGAAAATGGAAGATGTAACTGTAACGAATAAAACAAGAGAGAAAAGAAATGAAGAGTTTTTTGTGAAAAGACTTATCTCGATATCATTTGCTTATTGTAAATGAATTGTGTTGTTATTCTACTTTAGTTTTTTATTTTTCTTCTATAATAAATAAATAATATGAAAATAACATAATAAATAAAATTTTTGAATGTTTTTTTTCTAAATTGTTTTTCAAACATTTTTTAAAATAATGTTATTCTTTTATTTTTAGAATTTTTTTACTCAGTCACCCCATTTTTGTTCAAGTTGCACTGGTTTTTATCATAACTGTAATTATAAACATAATAATAAAATAGAATATAATTAGTTTTAATTATTACTTATATTTTACATTTAAGAATATTAAACAAACTTTTAGATATTAAAATAATTATCATAGGGTTGTGATATGTGAATATCATGCACTTAGTTAGTACTGCTATTTTTTTTAATAATAAGATCTCATTTGTGATGTGAATTGCACGTTTTCCCATGTACACTGGCTATTGATAATTGTAAATTTATTTTTTAAACATATTACCCAGTATGGGATCCCTCAGAGCGAGCAATTCACTTTCATTGCTATGTTTATAACAAAACATAGAAATTTTATGGTCTTTCTCAACAATTATTTGATCATAACAAATGAAAGTCGCCATATTAGACCTCCTCGATTCGTTTCCCAATTGGTTGTTTTCAAGATCAAACTTTTTGGAAATAATTATAAGCAACTCAGAGGTTTAATTAAAATGGGGTAATTGTTATAAAATATAAATATAATTTATAGTAATTTTTATTATTGTGAGCAAGTCAATAAATCAATATTTATTATTTTATATTATCAGAGTTTTAATATGACAATTGCAAAATAGTGGTATTGTTAGTAATACTTTAACAAGAGAATTCTCTTGTTTTGGTTAAAATAAGATAATGAAAGCAACATGAACTAAGTTTTCTAAACATCATTTTTTGACTTCATCATTTTTAATTTTGATAATTAAATAAATTAAAATACTTACAAAATATTATTATTTTATTATAATACAATAAATAACTATTAACATAGTTTTTATTATTTTTAATTTTCTATTTTTAAAAAGTTAATCATGTTTTTGATAATCTGTGTATCTCCAATGTGTGACATTTTGAAATAGAAAAACGAATTGCCAACTTGTTCATGTATGCTAATGATATCAGAATAATATTGTATATTTTGCATAAAACGTAAAATAGTTTTTTAAACATTTTAACAAAAACATAGATATGTTTTGATTGATAATTATAAATTATTAATATGCTGACGAAATTTGAGATTAAAAAACACAAATTATAAAGGTAATGTCGTTCATTTAAATTTTATCATTATCCATTGTGTTGTATTGGAGTTACAATTTTTTAATTCAAACATAAACATTTTTATAAAAATTTAGATATGTTTTTCTTATTTTTGAAGATGAAACTAAACTTTTAAAGTTTGTTTTTTATTTACAGACATGACAAATGCTATTAATATAATATATAGTTTCTATTAAAATATAGTTTAAATAATATAATAAATTATTGTTAATAGTTTTAAAAATTTTAACAAAAAATGCAAAGTAAAATATACATGTTTTTAGTTTAATAATTCGGGTTTAAATAAATTGATTAAAGGATTAAAATGCCGAACAAAAATTTGCAATTTTGAATAATTCAAGAAAAGTTACAAACCATTTTAGCAAAAAGAAATAAATAGAAAGTAAATGAATCAATTATAACAAAAAATAAAAAATAATCAAATAAAAATGATAAAAAAGTAAAAACTGAAAAAAAGAAGTCTTTAGATTCGTGGTGAGACTTTTTCGACTTACTTTATATGATATATTTGAATATCGAAAAAGAAGCATTATTTCAGAAGAAAAATATATTTGTAAAAATTAATATATTGGTTTTATTTCGAAAAATTTAGAAAGATCATATTAACTTTTTGCTGTATAAATGAAAATGATTTTTATTGAAAAATTTAATTGTGTTCCCAAAAAACTTCGTGTAAATTTCGCAACAGGCAGAAGTCAAGATTATTTAAGGTTTATTCCTCAACTTGAACATTCATTTTACATCGTTGATGGAAGAGACCAAGTGATTTCAACACAACTAAAAACATCAGAAAATGAACGCAAAGTAAAGGACAGTAGATACTTTACATTTAAACATCACTGTAGTGGGCTCAAAAAAAGTTTATATTAACTGTGATGGAATGGAGTTAAAGTGTCGAATACTCAACAAGACGCAACAAACAATTTAACCATCTCCAAGTGTAATTGGGATCAAAGTTTTGTTTTGGAAAATGAATGGGTACTTGCAGATAGTGGATACAAAGGAGTTGGACAAACTTTAATACCCAATCCCAAAACTGGAAAAAACAAACAACTTGTATAATCAGAAGATTACTTAATCAATATGAGTCTAATGATGAATGCTTCTGAACATAGATTGATAATTAGAGGAAACTTCGAAGGAATTCTATAAACAACGTATTTAAAGGAGTGTAAGTGGTTCTGTTGTCGAAATAGTTCACTTTGATACAGAAACAGTGCAAGAAATAGAAATATACACGAATTTCAGACAAGTTGATGTGACATAAAACGATGTAA